ACAAACACACACACACACACACACACACGGACACACACACACACACACATACGCACACACACATTGACATACACACACAAACACAAACACACACATACAGACATGTGTACTCACCAGTTCGTTGGTGACCTGAGGCACGCACGTGGTCATCACCTGAGAATACAGAGAAAGGAAAGGTCAGCCAGTGGTCAAAATTGAACATCAATTTCATGATAACGATGACGATGACGATGATCATGATGATGATGATGATAATGATAACGAGGATGATGATGAAGAGGAGGAGGACGAGGAAGAGAAGATGGATAATGATTGTGACAATGACAATGATGATGAGAATAATGATGAGAATACCGAAGATGGAGATGGAGATGTTAATGACGACGAAGATGAGGAGGAGGAGAAGGAAGAGGAGAAGGAGGAAGAGAAGGAGGGTTGTGGCCGTGGTAAATTGAAAAAATGCATGGATCTAAGAGTGTCACCGGTAAAAACAAAGGTTAAAAGCAACAACAGCAGAAACAACCATGACGTAAAAAAAAAAGATCCAGGCAAGACTACGATAAGTCACCACATATATTATTAGCAGCAACAACAGCGACAACAATAGCAATAGCATGAACAACAAGAACAAAAACAACATAAGTAACTGCAAAAAGGACTAAAATAACACGAGCATCACTTACAAAAGGAAAAATAAAATGCACGCAATACCCTCCCTACAGCTCTCCAACCAGACTACAGCTAGCAAACAAACTGCAAGCAACAAAACAAAACAAAAACAAAAACAAAACAAAAAAACAACAAAAAAAACAGTACAAGGAAATGGACAGGAAAAACAGACATGATTCCTCTGTGCTGAGTACATTAACTGGCCCCTCATTACTCTGCTCAGGCGTGCTTGAAAAGGGATACGGATGAAAGGGAAGTAACTAGATATATTCCGTCTATCGCGTGAGTTGTCGTTGGCTGAGGGAAGAGGGAGTAAAGAGGGTTTTTGACGGAGGAAAAAAAATAAAGGGAGGGCGGGGGCTTGAATGAAAGTGCAAACAGACGGTCATGCAAGGAGGTGATTCCACCTGTTTGTTGGTTCGAGTCTGTGATAGGGTTTTGAGTTGTTTCGATTGGTTAAACACCAGCCTTTGACAGGCAGATGGATCGGTGGATGAATGGATAGACAGACAGACAGACAGAGAGATAGACAGATATATGGATAGATAGATAAATAGATAAAAAGATAGATATCTTGTAGATAAATAGATAGGTTAACACGCAGAAATGCAGACTCAATTGCAGTACTTCGCTACATCAAAAGAAATCTCCCAATACTTTGTACCATGTCCCTAGATTTGCACTGAAAGTCAACTAGCTACTGAAAACAAACGCATGCA